TATGCCCGATAACAGAATGGGTAATGAAACCATTTGACAACGCAACCACAATCGGAGCGGACAATCTGAATTAAAGCATTTTTACAGGCACGAATTTACCAATCAATATACGCATACTCTACGCTACAAAAATAAAATCACACCTTCAGCTAACAAATAATATATATACACACCCCATTACACACCAACATACATTATTTTCAGATCCATTTCGCTCGCTGTTATAAGATCACGACAAACACCAACAAAAAAGGAAAAAAAAGAAAAAAAATCATCACAAGACCACCTCCCAGATCGACCAATGGAGAAAGGCCCCACCCCCTTGCCCCTCCCACACCCTACCATATATAAGCAACACATTCACCAGTCCAGACATTCGGTGACTCGATACCCACCATCGAGCCTCTTCTCTCTCTCTCATGTCCTCCTCTCACTTCAACATCACAATGCGACACAACTTGACAAGAATTGACGCCTTCAACACGCTCGCTTAACGATCCTGTAACCCAGGACAGCCTAATGACTTTCCATCGGGTAGCTACCGATTGAGTTTACGTCGCTACAAACAAACTCAAGGTGACACAACTCAAACAACACATAGAAGACCATACAAACAAAATATGGACACTTTACGAATCCTACCTACATGCGATTACATCGCTACCAGAAAACAAGCTGTACGAGGAAGCCTTCCACAAATACTGGGAAGAAAAGGAAGGAGACGCGAAGCTGACACTCGCAACGACTATCGCTCAACAACTCGACAAAAGAGCTACAGAGTTAGAATGTCAAGACATTGCACAACTCAGTACACACAGAACAACAATCAAGAACTCTAGTACACCCTTTTAATTCCATTATGCATTGAACAACGATTGCTTGCAGGATGAAGGTGCCGATTTCACGGTATCGCTGGAGTTCGGCCTTCTGGGATTGTTGATAGGGTGCGATCGGGGAATGGCTTCAGGGGAAGTGTAAAATCTGTGACTGGTTTGCAAACCCGCGCATTGTACGTAGCAATGTAATAATAAGACTGAGATGTTTTTGTGTGATGTCGAAGTTCATTGCTTCAATAAATCTTCTCGTCTACTGGTGCTCTTCGGCAGTCTACTCCACCGTCTACAACAACTGGCGATCAGCGGACTTCGACGCGAAGAAGCCCGGAAGACGACCAGAAATTTACCGGACCCCAGCCCCGGGTTCTAAGCGCTGAGCCCGGACGAACTGCTGGTCTAGTCCTATCTTCAGCTCCAGATTCCCTGCCCGGTCGATTGCTGAGAGCGTTAACGCCCAGCCCCGGCAGCGTATCCGGTCAAACTGCTGACCGTGTTGACGTGTGACAAGTCAGCCCCGGCGCCGTGCCCGGTCGAACTGCTGACAGAGTTCACACCGATAATGGATGCAAAAAGCCTGCAAGCCATCCTGGATGCCCAGGCCAAGATGCAGCAGCAGACGCAGATGCAGATGTTCACCGAACAGCAGAGGATGTTCGCTGAACTAGTCAACCGCATGGAAGGAATTGTGTCTGGCTCACGTTCAACCGCTCCAGCGCCTCCAGCCAACACAGCTGAATTCGTGACGAACTCGCTCTCAACACGTTTGCCCGAATTCGTGTATGATCCCTGACAACGGTTGTACTTTGAGGTTTGGTACAATCGATACGAAGACGTTATATCTAAGGACGGTGCTACCTTGGATGAAGCTGCGAAAGCCCGACTTATCGTCTCCAAGCTCGACGCCGTCACATACGCTCGTTTCACAAGCCACATTCTCCCGAAGAGAAGGCTTGCGAGATATCCTTAGCGGACACCGTGGCAACGCTCAAGGATCTGTTTGGACATAACTACTTCCGGTTTTCTCGCGCGATCCGATATACCTCAAGACCGCGCATGTGAGAGAACCTGCGGAGACTACACCGGCCTGGTCAATCAACGACATACTATGGCTGAATTCAACGACGTCAGCCCTGAGCAGATGGAAATGTCTCGTATGGATATGCGGACTCTCATCTCCCGAAGATGCTGATATCCGTGCCCGTGCCCTTCGCAAGATGGAAGACAATCCTCAAACGACATTGAAGGAACTGGCCGCGGAGATCCAGCAGTTTCTCAACATTCGTCAAGATGCTGCTCTTCCCGAACGATCAGCTTCGTCTCACATCAACGCCGTTGACTCCCAGAGCCGAAAAACGACCCGCCATCGCCGGTGCTTCCGCTGTGGTGGAGCACACCACTGGTCAAAGGATTGTCCATTCCTGAACAAGACATGCCACGACTGCGGGAAATCCGGTCACAAGCGAGGATTCTGCAAGAACTTCACGACGAAGAAGAAGAAGCAGAAGCCGAGACGGAAGCGGAGAACAGCAAACAACGTCGTCATCGCCTCAACACATGTCGACGCCGCTTCAATATCCCGCATCTACCGCCCAGTGCAAATCAATGGAAAGACGATACGCATGCGTCTTGACACTGGTGCAGACGTCACGTTGCTGAGCAATGCGGACTGGATCGCTATCGGTCGTCCGAAGTTACAATCGCCTCGAATCACTCTGAGGTCTGCCAACAACAAGCCAATCAATGTTCGAGGACGCTATGACTGCAGTTTCGTCATTGATGGTCAACATGGACGAGGTACCTGCTACGTTGCCGACACGCCTTCATTGCTGGGTCTGGACTGGATCACCCAGCACACGAGCCTCTCTTTCGTCGCCTAGTCGAGGGCTCCATCTGCAACGTAACCTCATCGACGCTAAGCACCATGAACTCTTCTCTCACTGCGCACCTTGAAGAAGAAAGTTCACTACAGTTTTCACGCCTGGACTAGGACATTGCACCAAGTCGAAGGCCAAACTCATTCTCAAGCCTGACGCTAAGCCTGTTTTTCAAAAGGCTCGTCCTGTTTCCATACGCCGCTGTTCAGAAGATTTCGACTGAAATCGACCGCCTTGTATCAACACAAGTTTTGACGCCCATCGATCACTCAGAATGGGCCGCTCCTATCGTCGCCGTTCAGAAGAAAAATGGTTCAATACGACTCTGCGCAGACTACTCGACAGGACTGAACGACGCACTTGAACAGCATCAGCACCCACTTCCAACTCCTGATGACATTTTCACGAAACTCAATGGAGGACGCTACTTCTCACAGCTCGACCTTGCTGAAGCGTATCTACAATTGGAAGTGGACGACGACTCAAAGCACCTGCTGACGATCAATACGCACCGAGGACTCTTCGTATAACGCTCCATTTGGAGTGAAGCCTGCTCCTGGCATCTTCCAGCAATGTATCGACGCTCTCATTGCCGGACTAGATGGAACTGCCGCCTACCTCGACGACATACTGGTCACTGGCAGAACCATCGACGAACACAACACTCGACTCGACGCAGTGTTCCAGCGAATCCAGGACTATGGATTCCGTGTTCGCCTAGAGAAATGCAACTTTTTGCAAACACAGATCAAGTACCTTGGCTTCGTCATCAACGCGCAAGGACGACGCCCCGACCCGACAGGTCAAAGCCATTCTTAAATTAGATGCCAGCTCAAAAGAGTCAGCAGCTAGCGTGCTTTCTCGGATCTTATCAAATTTCTACGGAACTTGTCAAAGATCTGCACAATCTACGCGCTCCGTTAGACGCCCTTACGAAGAAGGATGCTGTCTACACGTGGACACCGGAGTGCCAATCTTCCTTCGACAAGATAAAGGCAATGCTCAACTCGGATCTTCTACTGACTCACTTCGATCCGAATCTACCGATCATTGTGGCAGCCGATGCATCTAACTACGGAATAGGAGCAACTCTCTCACATCGTTTTCCGAATGGATCTGAGAAGGTCGTCTACCACGCAAGCCGTTGCCTTACTTCAGCGCAGAAGAACTATAGTCAGATTGAGAAGGAAGCCCTTGCTCTCATATTCGCCGTGCAGAAATTTCATCGCTTTGTCCACGGACGACACTTTACGCTGAAGACCGATCACAAGCCACTCGTCGCTATCTTTGGAAACAAGAAAGGGAATACCTGTCTACAGTGCCAACCGTCTTCAGCGATGGGCCACGATGCTACTCAACTACAACTTCGCGATCGAATACGTCAACACAAAGGATTTCGGACAAGTGGACGCTCTCTCACGTCTCATAGCGTCGCACTCATCAACGCCGGAGGACTACGTTATTGCCAACGTAGATGTCGATGTCACTGCCGAGTTCATCGAGAACTGCCGTCACCTTCCGGTCTCTGCCGAAACCATCCGGACTGCTACAGAAGATGATAATGTTATCAAGAAGGTCATCGACTACACGAAGTCTGGAAAATGGCCCAAGATAGATCGCAATTCTCCCTTTCTGGCACTACTACAACCGACGAGATACTCTGACAACTGTCGATGGTTGCCTTCTCACCGCATCTCGCATAGTGATACCCAGATCACTACAACGCCGTGTACTTGCAACCCTGCACAAGGCTCATCCAGGACAAACAAGGATGAAGATGCTAGCACGAAGCTACGTCTACTGGCCTACACTGGATAATGACATCGAACAACTCGTCAGGAACTGCAGCAAATGCGCTTCAGTGGCAAAAGATCCCGTCAAAGCCGAACTGTACTCCTGGCCGAAACCAAACTCTCCATGGATCCGCGTACACGCTGACTTCGCAGGACCCATGAATGGACGATTTTACCTGATACTTGTGGACGCCTATTCCAAATGGCCTGAAATCGTTCAGATGTCATCAATATCTTCCACGGCTACTATTCAAGTGATGAAGGACATTTTCGCCAAATACGGAAATCCGACGATTCTTGTCACGGACAACGGGACGCAGTTTACATCGTCGCAATTCGCCTTGTTCTGCCGTTCCCGAGGAATCACACACATTCGTACGCCGCCGTTCCATCCGCAGAGCAATGGACAAGCTGAACGCTTTGTGGATACCTTCAAGCGAGGACTCGCCAAGTTGAAGGGGGAGGAACCGACAGCTGACGCTCTACAGACGTTTCTGATGGCTTATCGCTCCACGCCATGCCCGTCTGCACCGGACCAGCGCTCACCTGCCGAAGCCTTCCTGGGACGCCGACTACGAACCGATCTCGAATTGCTGCTACCTCAAGAAGACGTCACCAATGACCACGAGACGTCAAGATGGAAATGCAATTCAATCGTCAACATGGAGCCGACACCGAAACTTGAACGCAACGACACTATTTTACGCCAAGGACTACAGAGGACTAAAACAGTCTTGGACACCTGGTGTTATCGTTCGACGTGTTGGAAACGCAACCTACATCGTGCGTTGTGGAAATCTGCTATGGACTCGACACGTGAATCAGCTGCGACCCAGAAGCGACACAACTGCGACGACAACGACAAACGTACTTCTGGACGTGTTCGATCTACCACTCTTCGATACGAGGAACGACTGCACGCCGCGGACGACTCCGATCAATCCACCACGACGATCGCAACGCAATCGACGACAGCCACGCCGACTCCAGCTGGACCCCCGAAGGTCCCGATACGATACAACTTAGAAGGGGAGGTGTTGTAGGGTGTTATCGATCTATGCTTATCAGACGTGTTGTGACTGGTTTGCAAACCCGCGCATTGTACGTAGCAATGTAATAATAAGACTGAGATGTTTTTGTGTGTTGTCGAAGTTCATAACTTCAATAAATCTTCTCGTCTACTGGTGCTCTTCGGCAGTCTACTCACCGTAGTTATACGAGAACTATTCGAAGAACTAGTACACAAACAACCGTATTCGAACATAGGCAAACTTTCAATCTTGCTAGGCTGTTGTAAAGGCGATGCAGCAAGATCGTTACGGATGATTCCTCGCACAGGGGATGCATACGAAAGAGCAATTCAACAACTCAAGAGTCAATACGAAGACCCCAAAAGAATTACCATACAAATGATCCGTCAACTCAAATCAATGAAAGCATGTCATGATGACCCACGTACTCTGCGAAACAACTTGAGCGATGTGCAGGCTATAATAACACCATACAAAAACAAGGAGAAGTAATTGACTCCACATATATGACAACTATGGTAATCGAAACATTCCCCAGAAAGCATTCAAGAAGAGATCGCGCGAAAAGAATTTGACAAGTGGTACAGAGTGGACTATGAAGCGATCTTCATTGACAACCTGACAAACATTGTCAAACGTAAGGAACATCTCGAGAGCCGTAACGAAAACTTACGCGAACAACATTCTCTTTTCCACACACGAACAAGCGAGCCCCTTCAGCTACAGTGCATTGGCTGCGGCCGCCCTCATAAGTTTGATACATGCTACAAATTTCAAACTATTCAGCAAAAAATTAATCATCTAAAAACTTTAAACGTGTGCTGGAAGTGTTTCGATACACAACACAGAACAATATTCTGTAACAAACCTAACTGCACACACTGTGGCGGCCCCCATAACCCCATCATATGCTTACGCAAAACATCAGCGATAAACAGGTCCTCTCGACCCACCTATAAGATTCAACAAACGTTTCGGATACAAAACAGCAACTTTCAATAAATACGCCAAGACAGCGCCCTCTGAAGCCTTACAGGCAACAGCGCTATTCCGCTTGGCGCCCTCTTACACCAGACGCTTCCTTAAATAATAATAGCCTGCAACAACGCCCCTCATGGCGACACTCCTCACTTTCGCCACGTAGATTTCGACCACGCGAGCACAACCAACGCTCAGATAACTCACAGCCTCACAGGGATGTACACACCCCGTCACCTGATAGAAGCAACCAGCCGGTTAACACACACCTTCCACACAACAATAACTCCATACGAAGACAAAACCAGCGATCACCCACAAATAGAGTTAGATTCGCTCCCTTACCGTACACTCCCTCCACTACTCATATCAACTTCCAGTCGCATAGCAGCCGTTCCACAGGAATTTCACCCACACTTCTCTAATTACAATAAAACAAATATACGCGCTCGCCTAATGGTCGTGCCTTTGATAGCCAGAAACACCCACACTAATAGAGAAGAGCAAGTTCACGCTCTCCTAGATTCCGCTTCGGATCAATCATTTATTACATTATCATTAGCAGAACGCCTACACCTCGCGCCTCACTCCGAAAACACCATCATTGTAAACACATTCGGGGGACGTGCAGAGAAAAAACATGTCAGGTTTGTCGAAACCTTGTTGCTCAACTCTCATGGACAATCCTTACATGTTAGATTGCTTACCACAGATACCATCACAAATGTCTTAACCATAATAGAGCTACAAGCAGAAGATAAACATTTCTTAGAAGAAAATTTCTCTACCCCTCCAGAGGTGATACAAGAACAGAAGTCGTTCCCGACATCCTTTTGGGAATAGACTACTTTAACACCATATTACTAGTACATGAACCCACACTAAGATTACCTTCAGGACTATTCATGACTCCCACATTTTTCGGGCCAGTAATATCCGGAACAATAAACATCGACAAATCCCAACCGTCACAATTGTATAACAACATTATCAGCACATACACGACACAGGGCTCCTTCCACGAGCAACCCAACATGGACTACTCCGACCTGTGGAAACTTCCAGGGATTGGCATCGACGAACTCCAAACAAATGAAGAACTTAACAAACAAATAATAGCAAATTTTTATTCAACCGTGCAACTTAAAAACGGGAAAATCTATATACAATTTCCTTGGAAGTCAAACAAACACTGCTTAGCCGACAATTACAACCTAGCACTGAGCCGACTCCATCAATTATGTAAAATGAGAATCAAGAATCCCGAATGCTGGGAAGAATACTGCAACATAATTCAAGAACAAAAGGACAAACACTTTATCGAAGAAGCACCTCATGTAACAAAGCTGATTAACCCCTTGTATTACATACCCCATCAGGCCGTAATAAAAGCAACAAGTGTAACAACAAAAACTCGAATTGTCCTAGACGCTTCCTCCAAAATGAAGGGACAATTGAGTCTAAATGATGTGATTCACCAAGGACCACTAATTCTACCAAATTTATGTGGTATACTACTGCGAGCCCGACTTGGTCCGAAGATAATGATCGCCGACGTTGAAAAGGCATTCCACATGATATACCTACAAGAATCTGAACGTGATTCAGTAAGATTCTTATGGCTCAAAAACGTTGCTTTACCACCCACTCCCGAAAACATACAAATTCTGCGTTTTTGTCGCCTACCTTTCGGTATTAACGCATCACCTTTCCTTCTCGGGATGTCCATACAATACGGAATCGAGCAACAGAAACAACAGAATACCACAATCACGCAACGCTTGGTTGAAAACCTATACGTGGACAATGTCCTCATGCTTGACAATTCGACGCAATCTCTTCTTCGAACGTATCATACATGCAAGAAGATATTTGCGAGCATGTCAATGAATCTTCGCCAATTCATCACGAACGACGAAATTTGTAACAAGTCGATCGATGAGAAAGATAAATTAACCGCAGCATCAACCAAAATCTTAGGCATTCCTTGGGATCACTCATCTGATACCCTCTCCATTTTGTGTAAACTGAGCTATATATCACAACCAACTAAACGAAAAATATTACAAGCAACGCACTCAACCTTCGACCCACTAGGATTCCTCACACCGCTACTGTTACCTGCCAAAATCCTCCTACAAGATCTGTGGAAACAGCACCACAACTGGGATGAACTCCTACCAGAAACATACGACAAGGCATGGAAAACAATATGCGAGCAGACCGACGGGTTTATTTTGAATCTCCCACGTACAATATTGAGCAATTACGAAGACACTCAATACGAACTTCACACCTTTGTTGACGCATCGGCAAGAGCTTATGCGACCGTCGCATACCTGCGCTTAATAAGCCATCAAGGAAAAATTACAAGCGCAATTGTAATGGCCCGACAGCGTTTGGCACCGATTAATGCGAAAACAATGACAATTCCACGATTAGAACTCTTGGCACTTCTCATAGGAGTGAGACTTACAAACTTTTTGTTAAAAGAACTTAAATTGCATATCACAACCACCAGAATCTATAGCGATTCACAGGCAGCCCTGCATTGGGTGCAATCCCAAACGAAAAACGGAGTATTCGTGGACAATCGGTGCACGGAAATCAGAGGAAAAATACAATCATGGTTGAATGAGCACTCAATACTGAGCCACTTGCATTATGTTCCTTCCGACATCAATCCAGCAGACTACGCAACAAAAGGACTCACGAAAGACCAAATTCAGCATCAGCCTCTTTGGTGGTATGGTCCTCCCTTTCTGAAAGAAGACATTTCAAAGTGGCCTTCACTTCTAGAGTTTTCCTGGCAGCACAAAGACGAGGAGTCGCCAGAAAGAGAAGTTCAGGCGAACTCAACGATATTCATCAACACCTCACTCAAGCAATTTCCCTCCACTTTATTGACGAAATTTTCCAACCTCAAAACATTGCAGCACATAACAGTCATTATTTTGACGTTTCTCAAACTCCAGGTTTACGACAAACTTCCTAAGGATGCCCAAGATATCATAGCCACCAAATTACCGGAAGTAACGAAAATTTCTGCGACCACACCTGTAACACTCCGTCAAGCACGAGATATAGAAATAGCAGACCAACTCCTCATCAAACTCATGCAACGCTCATTGACAAGAG